TGCACTAGTGATTGTGCATGCACACGCTGCGTGAGGAGCTGGAGTTATCAGTCCCCTGTACAGGTGAGGAACTGAGATTCATGAAACTTTTTATACTGTCAAATAACTAATAAAAAGCAAGCAGCAGGGATCCAACGTCAGTGCATCTCACACTGCCCCGTGCCTGCTGCACTGCCAGGCCTGGCGGCGCTGCCTGTAATCCCAGCAGCTGAGAGGCTGAGGCTGGAGGGTTGCAAGTTCGAGCCCAGCCTGGGCAATTTAGCGTCTTAGGGAGACGCTGTCTCCAGGTGAAAGTTAAAAAGGAGGCTGGGATGCAGCTCTGTGAAAAGCTCTGAGTTCAACCCAGATTTAAAAAACGGCACAGGACGGAATGCAGGAAAGGGGACCAGGGTGTGGGAGAACCAAAGGGCGGGGAAGGAAGGTGTGGTGGACAACACAAGAGGTCAAACCCTCGCCTCGCCTCCCCCACCGCCTGAGGGCCTGGTCTCTTTGCAGCCCCGGAATTGAACGGTTTCCCGCCTTGCACAGCTCAGACTGCGATTTCTTGGTGGTGGGCACACCGGCTGACCACGTAACGAGCGCGCTCAGACACCACCTCCGCGGAGCCACCCGCGTGTCAGGGTGGGTGGGTTCCCGCAGGGCGCCAGGGTGCAGCTCACGCCCGCATGAAGGAACAGCAGCCTCCTCACAGCGGGTGGGCTTCCGCAAAGCAGGGACTCCCAGCCGCAGGGCGGCCCTTGCTCCACGTGGCCCAGCAAGGCCGTGCCTTTCTGGGATTCGCACCCAGAACTTGGCTGACTGCAGTGGTCTGGTGAGGACCATGCAGAAAATGGGCTCTCTCACCCACTGCACAGACCGGGCTCCGAGTCGGCAGGTGAGGGAGGGGCAGCGCTTACTCGGCAGAAAGCCGGGCCAGTGCTTTTCCTTTGTTTTGAGAGGGGTAAAGAAGGGAGATCCCAGTAAATAAAGAAACAGCGCCCCAACACGCGCGTGAGCAGGAGAGCAGCTCTGACCGCCTCAACAGCGCCGACGCGGAGAAATCCACCTCCACACGGACCCTTTTCTCTCTGCCAGGACCCGCGTGTGACGTGCACGTGTGTGCGTGTGTGTCGGGTGAGGGCTGAGAGGATGCAGAAAATGTCTAGCCTTGCGTGCTGCTGCCACCTACATGGCAGGGAGCCTCGGCACAGCCCGGCTCGGCGAGGGGTGCAGCCACAGGGCCTCCTGCAGGCTGGAAAACCTCGCCTTCCTCTCAGCTGCCAGAACAGAGTATTCGCCTCTACTGCACTTGCAGCCAAATTCTGGAAGCAGCGGACTCTGTTAGATAGGTGGAAATGCACTCAATACCTGAAATGGGCTGGTCTAAGAAAATCTTCCTTTTTACTTAAAAAGCAAAACAGGCACCCAAGCACAACTTGATCGCTGTGACCCCATCCTGGGGTTCTTAATCTTACTGCACCCCCAACCCTGGCGGACTTTAAATACAACAGGGAAATGAAAGAAAATAATTTTCCTCAGGGGAACATGACTATAAATTGATGCAGATGCAGAAAAGATAAGGCAATCTTTTGGTGACAGCCGAGAGGGTATGTTCTGATAGAAAATGTAGTCAGCTGTGGATCTAACAGGGAAGCCACCCAAGCCTGGAGGCCACCGGGAACTGTCCCAGGCAACCTTTGTCTCGGAGGTGTTACCAGGGCGTGGTGCTGTGTCTCCTCTCGGAGCTGTGTGAAGACACCTTTCTAGACGCGTACCAGTGAGATCGAAAAGCCGACGATGACTTTACAGATAATTGCAATTAAAGCGATTGCTAAGTGAGCAAATGATTGGCTCTGGGATCCTGTGCCAACTAATTATTGCCATTCCGTAATGTTATGAATATCGGCCTTTTGCTGGCGTTCTGCACTTTGTAGATTCAGTTGTCATGTTGTACTAAACATACTCTAATTATGTTTGGTGTTAAGAACCTTGTATCCTTGAATAAAATTCATGCTACCTTTCCAGTTAGTGGGGCATTCAACACAAAAGGATTCCCAAAGTGGACAGGAAAATATGTCTGCCATGGGAAAAGGAATCTGGAGCGGCAATGTTGACAGGAAGAATCCCACCTGCTCAGGGTCCCTGGCGTGTGACAAGAAGGAAGTCATTTCACACATCTGCAGTGGTGCATGCCTTCGGTTTTCACGCGGTATTAAACTGACTATTTCTTACATTCGTACCATTATAATCATGCTTATAATGAGGCAGCTGTCATAGCCTATTACACACAGTGTGCTTTCCGGGGTAAAGGTGAATTTATCTTAGACCTAATGAGCAGGTTCCCAGACTAGGGAGTGGTAAAGCACAGGATGATCAAGAGAAACACATTTTAATATAACAGGTATAAAATCTAATTCCTGTAAAAAATCCACAATATTCACATTTTAAGGCTCAGGTCTGAGAAAGTCCATATAGGGCTTATGGCCGCAGACCTCACCCTGGTCCCTGCCCTGCTAGAGACGGAGGGCGCTCAGCCCTTCCCAGGGGCTTCGGGGGTGGGACTGGTCTTGGGGACGATGTCCCTTGGGACACCTGCTCGTTTCTGCGACACCACCAGTCGGGCCCCAGCTGAGCAAAGGATCCTGAATCCACTGTTCCTGAAGCCAGGAGACAGCCCTGGAAGGACACACAGCGAGGACAGGTGCAGCCCTCCTGCAGAGGTCGAAAGTTCTGAGAATGATGTAAATGTTTGCAAAGCTGCGATTTTTCTTATGAAACTGAGCACAACTTTGGGCAATTTATGTGTGCACTAGACAATATTTTGTGGAGAATAAAAGTGTCTAAAACTGCCTTTCAATAATGGAGCAACCAAAACATTAAGTTTACAATAGAGAGTTTTAAAATTTAACATTAAAAAAAATTATGAGTCAAATCTGTGAGAAGACTTTAGAATCACTGGGAATCAATGCATCCTGAGCCCTCGTTTTAAACCAACGTGTTGCACAAATCTTTATGCCACATAAACACTGAAGAGGAGCAGCTTCATCTCCAAAATGTTGATCTGGATGATTACCAGAGGCTTTTAAACATACAGACCACAGGAAAGAGACATACAAAAAGGAAGTAGAAGTCACTCAGACACCACCGTCTACAGAGCAAATGTTAATATTTAGAGAAATGTTTTCCCATTGTGTTTCTAAGAGAGGTGGATCAACTTAGTTTCTAACAGGAAGGGAAAGCTGGAGGCCCCGGGCCACCTCTGTTTGTGACACCACATGTCACCTTGTAGAGAGCACTGCAGTGCACAGATCGCCATCCAAACCCTGCTGCGGAGCCACGGGGACACAGGCCTGTGAGGCCGCTCTGCAGCTCGGACGAGGACAGAGGCACCTGAAGCCCGTGGGCCGGACACTGCGGGGAGCTCCGCTGCGTGCCGGGTGACTGAGGTCTTCCAGAGTTGCCTCGGGGCTCGGAGCACAACCAGTACGCAGCACAGCCAGGCACTGCACGACCGCTCACCACGCCACCGTGAACAGAAGGACCCAGACTTGCAAACGTGAAAATACGGTATTCTTTACGAAACTCTTTTGGGTGGTCTACGTCTCTTCTCACAATTTTTTTTTTTTTTTTTTTTTGTCTTTCTGAGACAGGGCCTTGCTATGCAGTTCAGGCTGGCCTTGAGCTCACTTTGTAGCCCAGGCTGGCCTCAAACTTGCAGCAATCCTCCTGTCTCAGCCTCCCAAGTGCTGGGATTACAGGTGTGCACCACCACGCCCAGCTCACAAGATAATTTTAATGAAGTGCTTATTACAAACGCACTCGTGGACACAGTGACCCCGCTGCCCAACCAGGACGAATAGGAGGACTCGGTCACGTGAGAAGCAGGCCCGAGCTCGCAGCTGTGGTGAGGGAGCCGTGGCCGATCCCGCTCACGGGGCAGCACGAGCCACTAACCGTCTTCCACAACAGACAGGACCGAAGATGCCGGACTGAGTCCGCGCAGGAAATCGGCCCGGATGGATTTTGTCATTTGTGTCACAGCACGTTTGCATGTGGATATTCTGGAACTATTATTTAAATCTCTCTGAACTTCTCAGTTTTAGAAATAAGGTCTTGGTTGTTTATGGTGTTTGCTTCCATTAATAAGGTATTAGAAAAGCTCCTGTTTAGTACAGTCAGAGTTATGTCATTCTGATTTCCTCATTTCCTATGGCTAGTGGCATGAGAAAATACTTTGTCAAGGATTTGATACTGGTTTTCTTAGACCCGAGGAAATGCCACATGTGGCAACTGTTAAAACCTACCGTTTCTCATCTTTGAAAAGGCAAAGGATGAGAGGTAACTATGAAAATGATAAAGCGCATTCTCAGTGAACAGTCCGGGACCTGGGCGCACAGGCAGGTTTCGGCCACGCGGCTGTTGCTTGTGAGGGAGGACGCACACTTAGGTGACCTTACCTGCACTCAAGGTGTTCGCGGAGCCCTTCCTGTGGTGGCTGTGAAAGCCGGCATGTGGAGTGTCGGAAAAGCCCCCCACTGCCAAACTTGCCACTTTCTTTTTTTTTTTTTTTTGAGTACTGGGAATCGAACTCAGGACCTTGAGCTTGCCAGGGAAGAGCTGCGCTGTTGAGCTATATCCCCAGCACCACTTTCCTTTACATTGCAACTTGTTTCTGGTGGGCTTTGGCTACTGTCTCCCCAGGGAGGAAAAGCATACAGGTCAATTTCCTAAGGGCTTTAATTTCCTAGATCATTCGAACCCACAAGTTAGTTTGTGAAGTACTGAGACATAATTTCCAACAAGGGCATCGTTTTTAGAAAATGAAGAACGCAACTTGAATCTACTTAGAGGGGTCACGTTTGATGTCTGCACTTTGGCCAAGCATTAGCTGAATCCTTGTGAGTAGAGACCACATGTTCAACTGTAAGGTTCTCTCCTCTGTCCCTGTCCTAGCACGGAAACCGACTCTGGTGCTCAAAATGAGTTTGTTGATGAGAAGAGACTTGAAATTCTCTCTTAGATTGAGTTATATATCATATATTTAATACTTCATTTTTCTATAGATTAGGCAATATTTGTATTCATAATATATGCACATTAATAAGCTTTGAAGATTTTCTATAAATCAAAGAATGGTATAATATAAGTCACAGCAAGTAAATCAGATCGCTAACAGCCTTAATAGATGAGCACTTTATGTCAATTCCTATTTATATTACTTCGCATATTTTAGTTTTAGAATTCCTGCTAGTGAAGCTTCTTTCTGGGAAAAGAACCGTAAGAGCTTCCATTTAATAAGAGCCAACTGTACGCGTTAGGAGTGGCTTCTCCCTTCCCCAGCCCAGATCTCTGTGACCAGTAAGCTCAATCTTTGGCGGAGGGCAGCAGCCTCGTGGTCGTCAGCAGTCCCAACTCCCTGGATCGAACTGGTTTGGCAACTGTGACAGTGGATGTCACTCGTTTCGGCTAATTGATGACTGCAGGGAATCGGTTATTTGTTAACAGCATTTCATGCTCAGGGACGAGATTTACTGCAGCCACTGGTCAGAACTAGGGCGTCTACTAACAAAATGCTCTCACCTAACAAATCAAATTCACTAAAGCTTTACGTTACATATGCTGAAGCAACATTAAATTGTGTGTGATGTTGGCTTTAATGTTGTTTATTATATAACTCAGGGACTGAAACAATGGAAACAAATCCAAAGCACTGTTACACTTCTGTCTACGGGCTGGCATTTCTTGTCGAAAATATTAGCAGAGAATAAGGAGGGACAGATAACGACTTAGGCCAGTGGTGGCAAACCTGTGGCAGGTGTGCTGAAGCGGGCTGTATCACTGAAAGCTCTAAAACGTTCACCACTGCTGACTGAAGCACTTATTTTCTAGAAGAACGGAGCATTTTCAGTCAGTAACTGTACATTCAATACACTCTGGCTAAGGAATTAGCAAACCCACTGCAGACCAACGGCAGCACCGCTTTACAAGGGAGATGAATGGCAGGTCTGGAATCCCTGAATTGGTGACGTCCAGGCTCTGCAGGGCCGCTCCACTCAGCACACCTTGCAGGAGCACATCTTGGCTATCCAGGAATGGTGTCTTGGCTCGCCTAGAGGGGAGACAGGAACCTGGGTTACGCAGTGGAACCAGGACAGGGCAGCGGGGCGGGGAGGTGCACACAGCAGGCAGGAGGGAGGGACAGGGGAGGGGAGGGAGGTGTGCCGGTATTTCCACGTCTCTTTTCCGTCCTGAAAGAAAACGTGAATAGAACAAGCAACGGTCTTATCTCACAAACCGGGCACAAGCCCTGTGATGGCACATCATATTCAGTGTTTTTTTTTAGATTGTCAAGGAAAGTAAATGTTTCTAACAAGAGGAATTTGGTATGAAATTAGTAAATTTCCATAAATTCCAAGCAGTTTACTTGTTGGTAGAGAAACCCCAACTGCAGCGTTAGGGTCAAGCCTTATAAATTAGTTGAACTAGGATTAGCGTTATAGACTCAAAAAACCTTTAGAACTTGGACAGCTTGGGCGATTTTCCTGGGGGCTAAAGATGTGTGATTTCAGTTCATTTGCCTATCAAGCTCTCTGAGCCTGGGGCCTTCAGGAGCTATTTTTATATTAATGATACAACCCTGACTACTGACTCCCACCCCTACTGGCAAAAAGTCAGAAAGTTGATTCTTTGGTTTAAGGTAATATTGCATACTAAACGTACGTATGTGTGTGTGGGTTAGTCCATAATCTTAATTCCTTTAAAAATTATTACATTGATGCTTCCATTTCCCCTTTGGACAAATTAATCAGAATATTGATACTGTGACGAGAGGCCCGAAGAAAGCGCTTGCACGTTGCTCCAGAGGAGGCTCTGGCTTCCGAAGGCTGCGCTGGCGCCAGTCGTCACAGGCGCACTCTCCATGGCGATGACTGATGCGTGGCCCACGCCGCCTGCGTTTTCCTGCTTCAGGCATCATGAGCCCTCGCCAGCGTTCCAGCCCCAAATCTGTCCTGCTTCGCGCTACCTAGTTCCTGCTGCTGTTTCACGAGCCAGAACAGTAAAAGAGGAAAGGCCCACCTTGGCTTTGTACAGTCTGCTCCCCAGAAAGCTGCGAGAAATCTAGTTCTGTCCTTCAGATCCATGCAGACGTAGTATCGATTGACAAAGGTGTGTATAGATCTGCACACCAAGCGTGCCACGTGAGAGCCGCTGAGGTGCTCGGTTATTGGCATATGCATACGGTTGTCAGCTGCTTCGGGGTGACGCGGAAACTCTAGCGAATGCATTTCTTCCCTGGGCTTCAGGCTTGCCCTCCTCACTTCGCTCTCCGCTGCAGGTACTCAGAAGTGCTCCGTCCCCAGGGCACTAGGAAGTAAAACTTCTAATTGTCCAAGAAATGAGGAGATAAAACTTAAGATCTCTCATCAACACCTCACGGAAATATGCATGCTATGCTCGTCATCAGGGATGTGCAGATGAAGGCCAGGGACCCTTTTTAACAAACATCCTGGGGCACGAAGATTGACATTTGTTCGCTGTGCAGGAAATGGTTAACTGTAGTTAACTGGTGAAGACCCAGCCAAACTATTTTTGTGAAAATAGTTTTCAGGTTCAGAAGCAACCGGGCTTTAAGGAGCCCAAGAAAGAAAGCCTAATGGCCCTGAAATCACAAAAGAGGGAGCTGCCAGCCCACGATGTTGCCTTCGCGCTTCTGTTACGAGACATCAAAGTTATCCCCATGGGTTCCAGGAACGCGTAAACGCCAGGGAGCGAGCAGGCCTCCTTCGCAGAATCTCAGCCAGGAACTTCAATCTGGGACTCACCTGTGCGTCTGGACTCGTTGCTAATGAATTATTCCAGAGAAAAGACACAGCGAGCCCTACTTCCCAGACCAGCTGAGACTTCCAGGTTCACGGGCAAGGTCAGAGGAGCAGGAGGCTCTGGGCTGGAGGAGCTCTGCCAGCCTAATGGACTCTGGCACACACCTGGGTACGGAGCGCAAGCCCAGAGAGGTCACAGCGGCCGCAGGAGTGAGGGCGAGCGCCCTGGAGAGCAGGTGCCCGCGGACGGTGATCCATGGCAGACTGCGGCGGGCTTGCAAATGGATGGCCATGCATTCGGTGCTGGGGAGCAACGTCCAGACTGCACTCGACAGGCATGGTTCCCACACAGCTCACCAGGCCAGTCCCACTGCTATGTACACACATACACACACAGGACCACACACACACACACACACACACACACACACACAAAGAGCACACATACATACACACACAAACACATATACATATTAATGCATACATATACACATACAAATACACACGAGCACACATGCATATGAACACACATACACGTTAACACATACACACATGGATACATGAACACATACATATGCAGACACATGAACACATGCACATGAACACACATGCATAAACAAACATGCACACACACAGACACATATGCGAACATGCATAAATGCATGAACACATGCATATACATGAGCACACACAAGCACACAAAAACATGCATGCACACAAACATGCATACACATACACACATGAACACAAGCATAAACACAAACACACACACAAGGAACATATATACACACATGAACACATACATACACATACATGAACACCTAAACATACACACGAACAAAACACATGCGCACACGAACACACACATGCATGCACATGAACACATGCAAACATATACACATATGTGAATACACATACACATGAACACATACACGAGCACAATACATATATACACAGATACAAAACATGCACACACGAACATGCATGCATACACATGAACACATGCATAAATATGATAAACACATGCATACATACAACACACAAGAACACATACATACACAAAAGCACGCATATGCATGAGTGCACACATGAACACATGAATATGCATGAATACATACATGTGCACAAATACACACATGTACACATAAGCACACAAACACATGCACACACATACATATATTTGACATTTAGATTTTATTTAAAACTCTATCAATCTTTAAAAATATAAACTTCAACTTCTTTCAAAAATTTCAATTTTAGTTTTCCTGTGCTTGGATTTCCTTGATTTCTGGATCTGAACATGAGCTGATATTGGAAGCTGAAGTTCTTAGAGCTTCGTCAGACGGTGGCGAGAGGGTTTTCAAAGCAAAGCCTTTGTCTGCAAAGAGCAACATATGAAGCAATGCTCCTGAACTGTGCTTGTATGGGGAACGATCTTTCATTTTCTGTATGCGGGTCAAACAACTGGCCTATTCATTTGAAATGATGTAAAAACCATATTAGCCATTTAGCATTGCATAGATAAAACTATGTAAGGTCAATACCCATTAAAGCCAGAAGACTGACCACTTCTATTCTGTAAGTGGGGGATTTTCACATCCATGAAAATGTTAACAGGAGTTTCAAATGAGTGATAATGCTCCAGTTGGAAAAGAAAGAACGATGCATACAGATTTAAATAGGCCCCTCTCCACACAATGACTTGTCCATGAGCGCAACTCCAAGTTTAGCTTCCGGAGCACCTCTACGAGTTCGAAGATGCCTCCCCAGATCTCACCCGTGAAAAACCCCGACTTGGATTTTTGTTTTAACTAAGGTGGTTAACGTGTTCCAGACGAGCAGCACGCACACGCGGTCAGCACAGGTAACTGAGCCACCAGGGAACAGGGTCACTTTGGACCCCGGACATTCGGAGAGACTTGGTACTCCGAAGGTCATTTTTGGACACTGCAAAGTGAACAGTCACCTTTTCATAGTTCAAGAAAGAGTCCCTGTAGGCCACTAAATTCACACCAGAAATACAAAGCTTACCTTCCTCGGGGTTCCACTCCTGACAGTTCCCTACCACTCTCTCATCAGTATCCTTCTTCTAAAACAAGCACCCCTTTCAGAAGTGTCTTAATTTCTTATCACAGAATTTTACCCACACAAGGAGCAATAAATAATTCATGCCGCTGCCTCTTTGTTGTATGTCCCTGAACTGCACCGCGCAGAAGGCTGACAGCTGTGTCAGGACCAGCGCCACAGATCTGACATGACAAGCGGCTAACAAGTCTCTTTCAGTTCCTCATGCACCAAGACAACGGCCCCAAGTGCAGAAGGAAACCCTGAAACAAAATAAAACTGCTTCTGTCTTTTTACCTAAGTGTTTGCCATGAGCTGATTTCCAACCCACAGCCCTGGTCATTTTCGAGGACTGCCCAGCCCCCACTCCTCACACTCGCCTGACCATTTACGCCTGGCCACGGATCAATATGAGCAATTCTTGGAGAAATACGATGTCTCCATGACAACCAAGCCACAAATTCTCAGTGGAAGGCAGTGAGACCAGTCCTGAAGCCTCCAGAGGTTTGCAGGCCTACACGGCAAGATGCCTTAAAATGCAGGGACGGACGGAGGAAAGAGCCGGAGTAATTCATCCTTTATTACCAGCATAATGACGGCTGAGGAATGGGCCCGTGTTCGCTCTTGAAGTCAAGATGCCTTATCAGCACCTGTGTTTTCTAGTTAACCTTTCTTTTTGGGGATGTCCCTTTGTTTGCGCCGCTCACAGGGCCGCACCGTCTGAACCCACCGCGGCCCCGCGCCTGCAGAGGGAGGAGGCAGCGATGTCGGCACAGAGCTGCTCTGCTCCTGTCAAAAGCAATGAACTCCTGGGCAAACACTTGTGCCGCCCATGTGACCGCCTGCAAAAGGGTGCCGGGAAGCGTTTATTAAGACATTGCAGAAACCTGTGCGGAATGAGACAATCTGAATCCACACTGAAGTAGTTTAAGTGCAAATGTCATCACAGACGTTGGCACGACCACTCTGCACCCTCTTGCCGGTGAGACGAATCCGCATTCATCCTTGGGCACTCTGGCAGGGATGGGTGCGTTCGCCCACAGACCTCCCCTGGTTGTGGGCGGTGCCATTTCCCAGGCTGTGGGCACTGGGGCAGGGGTGGGGCTGGGACCCAGCCGAGGCCCAGAACACGGCGGCACGTCTCTGGAGGAGTCTGGCGTGGTGGAGGGGCTGATGTGCAAAGCTGTTGCCCCTGGGCCTGCGGGGCCCCGAGATGACTTCAGAGACCTGACATAGACTGCAGGCCGCACCTCTCACTGAAAATTAAATCTCCGCTGCTCTCCTCTGGGAAGGATCAGGGGACTGCGGGCAGCTGGCCCCTGTCAGGGAAGGCTATGGGATTTGGAAATCTCTTAACCAAGCTGACAGGCTACAGTGAAGGAGGATCAGACACAGGAAACAGGGCGAGCGCGGAAGCTGAGAGAAGCCAAGGGTGCCCAGGGGCCAGATAAAGCAGGAGGAGCAGCGGCCTCGAGCAGCTTCCCTCTCGGCAATAAGGGACCTCCTGGCACCTGGTGGCTCTGGCGCGACCCAGGAATGCCATTCATCATCCGAGAGACTTTTTCCTTTACTTAATTAGTCGTCAGGATTAGGCCTGTTTTAAATGCACCAAAGACAAACAGAAATCCATGCTCTAGCACGTCTGGCGGGACCTTCCAGTACCTCTCTGTCTGTTCTTTCCACAAATGTGGGTGGCATGCGCACGGCCGCGTGCACGGGGAGAGTTGCCATTCTGCTCTGCCTGACAACACGCTGCTGCCCTCGACAACCCCTTTCCCGGGGAGTCGGCTTGTACCTGGAAGGGCGGTGGAATCCCGCGTGCCGGGCTGAGTCTCTTTCTGCCGACCTCCCCGTGTGTGCCCGGCTCTTGCTGGATCTCATTATTTGAAATATTTAGAATGTCAGCTTCCTCTGGGCCCCAGCCTCCACGTGTACTAACCAGTTCAGCCTAGAATGGATGATAATGAACTAATCGTGTCAGCCCCGCTCCCAGTCATCCAGCCTTTGTACCTCGTCCCACCGAATTCCTGATGAAGGAGGGGAGCTGGCAGCCCCTCACCGTGACCTCTGGAGGTGACCATTAATTTGACAGTGCAGCTGCTGAGGGAGAACAGCATTACGATGCCCCCGCTCCAGGACCCCAAAGCAGTGTCAAATTTATCATTTTATACTTGACTATTTTTAAATGGCTTTCACCTGGACTCTCAGACCCATCCAAGACGCATCTGCCAGGCACGTCCTCGGAGTCCTGGAAGTTGGCTGTCTCCGAGTTGCTGTCATGCTCGCCTGGACTGACTGCAGCTATTAAAATGAAAGGAAGAAAGAGAGGGAGAGAGGTGAGGAGGCAGCAGCAAACATCATTAAACCACTTCTTCTCAGTCCCAGGGATACTACCAGGGACACACTATGTAAACACAAATAATAAATTGAAATAAAATGTATCCTCTAAGTATTTATTGGCAGACATGTAATTAGTTGAAAAATCCATAGATGTGACTTTATCTTAGAAGAAAAATAAGTTCAAGGCATCAGCTTAAAAGCTACAAAGTAACAAAGTGATGCCTTGCAAGTAGAAATCGTATTTTTAATGCATAAATCTAAAACAATAAAGTCAATTAATGGCCACCGCGCACTGAGGACCCCAGGCTGCTTGGAGGGCTGAGCTCCACGCCAGGGAGACCTCCGCCGGCTGAGCACCCACAGCTAATGATACTCTGGGTGCGTTTTGGTTCTCTTTCATGGAATTAAAAATAATGATACAAACACCGGAAGAAGCCTTTAAAAATAAATCTTAAAAAAGAGAAGGTGTACGCCGAAAATAAGGAGTGCTGGCATTTGAAACAGAAGGTCTTTCGATTACTGGTCATTAGCTGTTATTTCTTAAGTAGGAATACGGAGCAGAGACAGAGAGGCCAGCACAGGAGTCTAGACACACTTCCTCTGCACGCACGGCACCCACAGACTTTGCGGGAAAATGCTCTTCAGGGCCCACATCCCCCACAGGCTGCAACCCTCGCCCACGCAGTCTGCGTGTGTAACTCTCCCCATGCTGCTTGGTAGCAATCACCTGTTGGGAAAGGTGGGCGCTGCCTTCATGAAGTAACTCAGCGGAAAAGGAAAACAAAGCAAGACTCTAACCTCAGCCCGCTTATCTGTTAGAAGCCAAGTGCTTAAATAACACACACGCGCGCACACACACACACACACACACGCACGTGAGTACGATGACATTCTGCCTGTCATCAGTCGCTGCATTAACACAACCACTGTCTCTTCAGATCTCGCTGACAAACACACACCATCTCTATCAGCTAGGCGTGTGAAACTCAGCCTCTACTGCAGTCTCCTCCAGGGAGTAGCCGCTGGCATGGGACCACTGTCCTCAACCTCCTCCGCTGGGGAGGAGAGGGCCGGGCAGAGGCCAGAGCCTGACGCTTCACACTCTGCACAAGCAACACAGCGCCCATCGAGGTCCCCAGTCACCCTCCCTTTTCGCCCTAAGGCAGCCGCGGAGCTGGCAGTCACAGCGCGAGCCCACACATGGGTGTCAGAGGAGCTCCGCAGGCGACTCTGGTCTGAGGCTCCTCCTCACTCCCAGCCCCTCAGGACCGGGAATCTTCTCTGTCCTGTGGAAGTGTCAGCGTGGCTTAAACCCATTTCTCTGAAACCTTTTGTTTGGAAACAAAATATGCAAATTGTATGAAATTCTTATTTTAAATAAATAAACCTGATATCTTCATTTTGCATACCTGAAGTTTTTTAAAAAACAGTACAGGAGATACCACATGGGCCCTGTGTGTCTCAGCACCAGTCACAGCAAAGCCACTGTGGAGTGGGCACAGAAAGGATGCAGAAGCACCAAACTCAAGGTCCTCCAGACCCCAAAGAACACTGCACCCCAAGGACCTGCAGACTCCGAGGACCTCCAGACCCCACAGACTTGCCCTCTCATTACCTCTGGCGGGCTGGTCGGGCTCCCGCTCTGACCCGTGCAAGGCCACGATGCGAACTTGCCAAGGCTGATGAGGGTTGGGAGAGGCACACAGCAGCTCAGTCTCCAGTCACGGACCGGCCTTTAGCTTTCCCCAGTTTGAATCACACAGACAGAATACTTTTGAATCCGTAGGTTCTTGGTAAACATTTTAATTGCAGTAGTTAAATACATCAACACCGTGGGACCCTACTACACTGGGCAAAATTTCCCAGCTTATTTTAATTACAGTTGTCTGTATATATCTTACTTGCTAATTTTCTGAAGTATTTACACTGATCTTTACAATAGGGAATCAATCCCATAGTTGAATATTTTCCTAAAAGCCAGTCGCGTAGCATCTCTATTTTTTAGGGGAACTGTGTTACACCAGTCCCTAACATATTGTCCTTCTATAGTTTGACACATCCCTTCCTCCTTTCCTCAGTTCATCCCTCCAACAGAGACTTATCGAGAACCAAATGTTGGAGGAATCTGTTCTGAATCAGAGACCTCAGAAGGGAAAAGGACATGGGTAGAGGCACCAAGAACAATAAAATGCACACCTGTGGTAGTTTTCAGAGGTGATAATGTGGACCCTGGGGAAATGACACACCAAATCCCTCAAGATCCTGGAGAGTTAGACATGGCTTTAGCTGCACTGTCTTCAGCAAACCCACAACCCAGGCATCACGAAGCTATTTTGCGTCCACCTCTTATCCGAGAAGTGTGGTTTGTGTGAGCGGGTGGGGAAGTGGAGGGGATACTCTTAGGTATTCTGTTTAATGATGTGTTCGCTTGCAAATCTGAAGTGGTGTGAGTTTTGCCAATTTTACTGGGCAGACTGTGGAGCAGCCAATTAAGTTTACTGTAGGAGCAATGACTCCCCTCATCGACTGGGTTAATTACTGGCGCTCCTTGGTGTTGTCTGTTGGGTAGGTGAATACTTGCAATTGTTCTTCTGGGTGTTTCCTGGGATGTTTCACCATTAAACCTTGACATGATGTGTGACCGGGGCTTCTCTAATGAATCACTTCAGAAACGGTGACATCAACGAATATTGATCTGGTGCTCATTATGAGTAGAGCTCTCTGCCGGACAGGGAGGAGCAAAGAAAGGAAGGCACTTTAATGTGCCCTCATACAACTTGCGATCTAGTTGGTGTGCAACGCATGGAACTTGAGGGAGAGTGGGGGCAGAATCTGAAGAGCAGTGTGCTTTTTAGGGGACAGAGGACAACTCTTCCACAGTAAGACAGGTGGAGGTGAAGCTGGGATTAGTCTTGAGCAGGAAGTGGGAAACCCAAAGGGTATCATTCACACCAAAGGGATGGGGTGAACACACACACAGCCTGGAAAGATCTGAGCCTCCTGCCCCAGGCGTGCATGCGTTTTTGTGGTACTGCCGGCTTGGTATATATTTTTAATGAATTCTCCTCACTTGTCTCTTTGAGCTTTTGCTGAATTGCTGTTGTTGGCTAATTCTTCTCACCTGTACAAGTCAGCTATAGACAGGTTCTTCCTTGCCCTGGATAGTCAATACTTTGATCTTTACGGATGGTGGGCCCATTTGTCATAGTAAGTTGTCCTTTCACGATACATATTGACTTTTGTTTATCAATACCAAAGTCCATTTGTAGCTCATCACTAAAGTTCCTGGATATTTTCAGGAGTTTTTGAAGGTGCATTTCAGATCTTGGCAGAGAGACGTTTCTGACATCAATGCAGTTCAGATGGTTGCTAGGCTCACCTTCAGCTTAAAGTCAACTGTTTGTTTCTGCTGTAATGGGCTGTCAAACAGTCCACGTTGGGAGGTAGGAGGCCAACACGATAAACGCTTGTTGCCAGTCCTGCCGTGGACAGATGTGGGGCTGCTCCGCTTACCCATCATGCACTGCATGCAAGGCCAGGGTTCGAAGCGTCTCTGCAGCCTCTTGTGTGGCAAGATACAGAGGGTTCAGGTGCCCTGAAGGCCTGTGTCTGCTGAGGGCACCTCTGACCAAGAGTGGAATTCTCCTAGATCCAACAGAAAGGAAGGGTCCAGCCAATGACAACAGGAAATCACAATCTCTAAGCCATGGTTAGCAATGCTTTAAGAGCAGTGCTACATGAGGAAGATTCTGTAGAAGGATGTATTGTTTCTGTGGAAGGACTTATTCTTTTAAAAAACATGGTGTCAGGCTCAGAAGTGATCTCCTCCTCCCCCTCCACTCTCTGCTCTGGCTTCAGTCACCCTGCAAAAGCCCTCCTTCCTTCAGTCATTATTTCCAGAGGTGATATTTGCTGCTAAAGGCAGCAACAACAAACCAACAAACTGTAGGAAACAGCTTCTGCCCTCAATAAGACCCCCGCCCTTCCCACCAGCGGCAGATGACCGGCTGCGCTAGGCCACCAAGGTCCAAATGGAGCCTTTGTTGAGCATCCACATCGATGTGTTCTGGACAGTGACATGAATGAGGTAAGCGAGAGACCCCACTGACCACAGGCTTCGGGGAGGTAATGAGGATATTTACGGGAAAATCATTAATAACAAGAAAGGACAGTTCTCAGTGTTGGACAACTGAGTGGAATCAACCAGTGTGACAGCAGACAAAGGCCACCCAATCATCTTGACTACTCATTAACCAAGGACATAAAAACAATGCACAGGTGACAGTGGTCGGGCCCATGGAATGGGAGACCTGGGTTCAGATCCACTCCTTCCAGTCATCAAGAGCTGATTTCCTGCTTGGTAAGGGGGGTCACTTCCCAGTCTGAAGGAGATATCAAGAAATACACTAAAGTATCTTCCCAGAGGCTTGAAAGAAAGAGAAAATGGCATCAAATATAGGTGGAAGTAAATACTAATGCAATAATGGCAGGTCACAAAAAACTCGTGATGTACTTTAAATAAGAAGGAGGCAGAATCCATGAAAGATGTCAAGTGATAACACTGAGTTTGTAAACAAAGAGGACCTCATTGAACAGACCCCAAATTCGGTTTACAAAGTGGCTTCTCTCTGGACAGATGTCTTATCAGGAAAGCATATCTGGCTAAGAGCTGTGTACATATTACCTCGACTTTAAAGCATATCAGCCGAGATAATCAAGCAGTAGGACCTCTTAATTATATTTGAATAGCAATCATTACATTCTGCATCAGACACCTGGCTGATTTTGTCTTCAATGTAGACTGGAAACTGGAAAAAGAAAGCATGTAGGGATGCCAAAAATTAAGTTAGGTGTCTACGGCTTCTTTATAACTAAGCAATAACTTTTATGGACAAGTTCAGCAAAAGAGGTTAGACCGACACCTGTGTCTTTTTGCTGTCTTCCTGCAGTTCTAATCTGAT